GTAAGTACTATTAAAAAAAACTTACATGAACCTAGAAAATGTACAAGTATTTGAAAATACAACTAATGTCTATTTGAAAGATGCACAAGAGCACATTCAAACACAATTCGCTTCTGACTGGATGAAGTCTCCAAGGACTTCCCTCCCTATCATTTCCACTTGGAAGGAACAATGGTTTAGGGTAAAAGGGCAAGAGGATAAGCTTCCACCGAGAATTTCACCAGGTCCACGAAAACACATCCCTTCTGCTTCCTCTGCACAGGAATGGAAGGAAAGAACGCGAGAAAACAAAGTTTTCATCCATTATAAATATAATAGTATGGCCAGGAGCAGCAAATGTCAAGTTCACATTTGTCTAATACTTTCTCTATTTACAAAGCTTTTTTGCATCATTCGCTTGATTCTCAAAATAATTCCATGAGACACAATAACAACTCAAGTTATTAGTTTCGTTTTTACAGATGAGAAAAATGATGCTGAGAGAGGTCACGTGACTCACTCATAGTCCAATATTGGTACTGTAAAGGCAAGTTCAAAACCAAGTTTTCTGATTTCTTCGTAATTATTCTTTCTACTGTATCCCTTTGGTTTTCCAATAAAGGAAACAACTGTATATAGTTTAACAGCAAAAAAACTTATGATTCCAAACTGCAGTGTCATTTGGTACTCCTTTGTGGTTAGGAATAGTTTACAGAACAGAGCACATTATAAATATCTGAACTGTGATCAAAACATCCCTTCCAGGAGAGGAATTTAATCAATAAATTAAAAATTAGAAAACTCAAAAGTCATTTTACTGCCTTGACTGATTATTCTATCTTGACTTGTACTGATGAAACTGTAAAATGTAATCTGAATGCTAAATATATCAAATATCTAACCCATTTTCCTCATCCAGAAAAATTTTTTATACATTCTTCTTGTATTGAAAATGGAGAAATTTGGGAATTTACTTGCACAAAAACGCCATTACTAAAAAATTCCGTATTTACCTATAATTTTGACAATAGTTTAAGGTAAATTGCATTTACTGTCTTTGAAAAGGTCAGTATATAAATGAATTATGTTTTTCTTGTCCAAATACGAATAGTAAACTGTAACAGCAAACATTTGCTGCTGCGGGGTCTCTCATTTTTACTTTTACAAATACTTGCTTAGAGTATTTTGCTTGGATCCTTGGGTATCTTTGCAAAACAAAATTTCTAGAAGCAATAAATCAGGGAGCAAAAATGAGTACAAAACTTATTTTCTTAAGTTCAGGCAAAATTAAGGGAGAATAAGTATTTCACAGAATGATTTAAAAAAAAAATCCTGATACCTTAAACACGAAAACTGTTACGTAAATTCTAGTTGCTACTTCTGAGATTGTTTACTTTGCAAGTGAACAGTGTCCTTTTAAATGCACTTTACTATTCAATCTTTTTTTTTTCTTTTTTTTCAGTTTTTGGCCAGGGCTGGGTTTGAACCCACCACCTCCGGCCTAAGGGGCCGGCGCCCTAGTCCTTTGAGCCACAGGTGCCGCCCTACTATTCAATCTTAATTCAAGAGAATGCAATTCCTGATAAAAATCTTTCAATCTCACTATGTACGTACAAAAAAATCCATTTTGAACTGTCAGTAAAAATGAGAAATATTGACCTATCTGGACACTAACGTCTGCTGTATGTTATGAAAGAGAGGATGGAGGTAATTATGGAGATATGCCAGTTTGAAGAAAAAGTCGTCTGCTCTGCCTGGTAATTTAGCAAAATGCCCAATCTGGTAGTGTAACAAGTAAGCAAAGTGCTGTGAATCAAACACCTTATAAAACAGCATTGATGTGGGCTTTTCAGTGCTTTCCTTGCACCATTCTCCGGTTAATGTTGGTATTTATCCTGAAATAACACCCAATCTGTTCCTGTTCGTTCTTTGGCATGTTTGAAGTCAGCAGAAGCACTCTTTCCTGGGCTTTACTGCTTCCTCAGAAGAATGCACAGTATTTGGAACGAAACCACTTTTAACCCCTTCCCAGCCATCCTGAATACAAATTTCTCCCTTTTTAATAAGTTCGTATATGTCTCTTGTCAATATTGTGAAGGATTCTTCAACATTTGTCGCATCCTTTGCTGATGTTTCGATATATTTCATTCCACAGTCTGCTGAGAGTTTTTCAGCCTCTTCCCTTGTAACTTGACGTTGTGAAGCTAAATCACATTTATGTCCCACTAGGAGAAACACAATCCGAAATGGCTGTACATACATTTTTGCTTCTTCTAGCCAATCTTTCACATGTTCAAAAGATCGCCGGTTAGTAATGTCAAATACTAAAAATCCACCAACTGAGTTTCGGTAATAAGACCGAGTTATTGATCTGAAAAACAGAGAAAAAAGGTTACATAAAACTTGTTCTTTCCCGCCTCCTTCAAACAATGCAGCACCATAATAAAATGTGAAGATATCTTAATGTGATTTAATTAAAATTTATAAGTAACATATTAAACACTTAAGCAAACAAAAATATTCTATGAGACTAATATGCAACTTTCTTACACTAACAGAACATTAAAGTAGGGTGGCACCTGTGGCTCAGTGAGTAGGGAGCTGGCCCCACATACCGAGGGTGGCAGGTTTGAACCTGGCCCTTGCCAAACTGCAACAACAAAAAAATAGCTGGGTGTTGTGACGGGCACCTGTAGTCCTAGCTACTCATGAGGCTGAAGCAAGAGAATCGCCTAAGCCCAAGAGCTGGAGGT